CAATGGCATGTTGATGGCATCCATCTGTCTCAAGGGACAATGGAGTGCACCTCTGGGGGGAGAAGTCAAACTGCTGGGAGTGAGCTCCCCGGGGCCCAAGCCTGGGCATTGTGTATGGGGTTCCTGGGCTGCCCAAATGACAAGTCCCCCCCTCTCGGCCTCACTGATGCGGTCCTAAGGAAAGGGAGCAATATGTTTGGCACCAGCTTGACTGCAGGAGTTGCTGGAAGGGGGTATACAAGGCTCCCTTGAAAATGACCCAGCTTACTCAATGACAGCCGTACATTACTCCCAGATAAATGGGTTTTATCTGGGAGAAACCCACAAATGCCTCTCCCTCTTCCTGGCAGTGAAAAACATTACATGTAGTCTAACCATTTGTTGCCCTTGCATGAAACTCAAAAGCAGCTGCCCGGGGCGGACAGCCAACTCTGCCAAATGGTAGGGCCGGCCCTGGGCTGCTTTGAGACGAAGGGCAGGATGTAAATTTCATAAATAAATGAGAAACAATAGAAACCACCATACACTAGAGAGGATAAAGAAGCAAGCTCTTGAGCACGCACTTGAAATATGAAGCAAATATATTTTTGCAAAATGGCCACCTTCAGAGGCTCTGAAGAGCTAGAAAGTGAAAGGTTGATGATTTCAAGGGAATTTAGGCCAAGCGATTAAGTTGCAATCCTTTCAGTCCTGAGAGGAATATTTTTTTATTAAAAAAAGACACTCAGAAAATGACAAGTGGCATTTTAATTGTGTGGCAGCCAGCAGGGTTGACATACTAATAGATATTATTCTGAGGAGAATAAAGTGAAGCAGGAAAGTCAAGGGAATGTTGCCTGCAAACGGGGCTGTTTAGACAGCTGTTAAATTCAGCTGCTAACATCTTCTCTGAGCTTAGCAGGTTTCAACAACATGGGGATTTTATGACACAGCTGACAGGTCTGAGGAGTCCCTCTGTGCTCAGACGCTCTTTGAGGGAGTCCTGTTGGGCACAGAGTCTAACTCTGAAGCTCACAGCATTTCATCTAAGCTCCACTGTTCATAAAGGTGTGAAGGGAAAATAAGGGTTCTGTGGGCACATCGGTGGCACAGTATTTGCCTTGCATGCAGAAATCCCAGCTTCAATCCATGACATCTTCAGTTAGGGTTGGGAGAGATGTCTGTCTGAAACCCTGGAGAACTGCGGCTACTCAGAGCTAAACAAATCAGTGGTCTGACTCGGCTGATGACAGCTTCCTGTCTAAGAACTTTTACAGTCTTGCTGAAACAAGAATAGAACAGGCAAAGGAATCTCCTGGTTCCACTCAGAGTCCAGTGCCATCTAGTGACTAAACTATATAATGACATTATCCACCCAATCCCTATCAACAAAAAAAGAGAGACACACACTCAGAGGCACCAGCTTGCGAGGGTGATTGGGGGATCTGACGTCGCGCATGTGTGAAGTCACCTGTGACATTACACACATGCAACATCAGGATGTCGAGAGGAGTCGGGGGCAGAGCCAAATGCAGTGGCCGCACAGCTTCAATGGCCAGTGGCTCCTCCTCCTCCTGCCACCACCACTGGCAGAGGGCTGCTTTAACCCTCCTTCCCCTCCCTGACAGGAGGAGAAGGAGTTGACCACTGAAGCCATGCTACGCTTGGCTCTCCGCTAAGCTTCCTCTAGCCCTGGTTTTTTTGGGACATTGCGGGGTCACGGCCCCCCAAAAAAGGCTCAGCCCCCATGAATTGGCACTCCTGCGCACACCTATTTCATTGGGGCCCAGGTGAGCATCAGAATGTAAACACACAGTTAACGTAGATAAGGGGTAGGCATCCTTTTTGGCTCAGTGGGCCAGATCCTTTTCAGGATCAGCCTTGCAGGTCACATTTGACAGGTGGGTAGTGCCGCCTACCTTTCTGTTTCCATGGCATCAGAATGATGTCACATGCAATGTGCTTTGAAGTCCTGCAACAGGTTCGTGGCCTTCTTCATGTCCACTGTGATGGGCAAGCAAAACTCCACCCAGACCAATTACTCCCAGTTGCACAATGAAACAAAACTGACACGCATTAGAATTCTTAAGTGACATAATCTAGTGGTATCACGGAAGACTTGGAAGGTGGGGGGAAACAGGTTTACAATTTTTAAAATAGAACAATGCTGCAAATTGCAGACCATTGAATTTAAGACTGGGAAAATGAGGAAGGGAGAGTACTAAAAATGACAAATCCTGCCAGCTTGAGCTTCTTGTTTTACCCCATCCTAATTAGTTGTTCTTTCCCTTTTATTCCCTCTGCCCACTCTGGCTTCCACTGAATTATAAGCAAGAAATAAAAATCCCAGAACCACTTTTACTTGTCAAGCTGAGAGGCCCCGGTCATCCATTAAAAGCTGTCTTCTCAATGTCAAGAAGTGAAAGTTTTAGGTGTTCCAATGGTAATTATGTTCCTTGGCTCTAATGAATCAGAATGGCAACTTTGCAGCAAGCTCTCCAAAATACTTTGCAGTGATGAGTGCTGTATTCACCAAAACATCCCTGTGGTAGGGCGCATCCTGTAGCTTGCATAAGTAAAGCATTAACACATTTCAAAAATAAGAGAGAAGAACATAAAACATCCATTAACAAGGAAATCTTGAAGATTCTAGCTTTTTATAAGTGCTGAGCATCACATTAAAATTCATGTGGCTGGGAGCGTAAAGGGAGGAAGGTGGAGTGCCATCGGACAATGTAATTGTCTGCAGAAATGCATATTGTAAAGGAGGCTAATGAGATCTCAAAGATTAAGCTAGTGGTGTCCCCATTTTTTTGTGAGGTTCAATATTTGTGTTTGAGATGCCCAACAATAATTAAGATGGTTAGTCCTCTTTTTCTTTTCTTTTTGCACTACAGTTCCCATAGTGCTCCTAGTTTTGGCAGAATGATTTCATTACTATGATATCACTTGAGGAGGACATCATTTATGTAAAGGTGTGCAGTCAAAGGTATTCTCTTTTCTTCTTGCTGAGAGCGACGTTGGGCATAGTATTTGTTAGGGGTGTGCATCAGCTGTGTGTGTAACCCTAATAACTAGGCAAATTGGGGCAGTTCTGGGCAAACTCTCATGTTCCTCAGCTGGGCCACTCCATTAACAAGGCATCTCAAACTGGGCAAGGGAGGCCCCAACTTTTCAAGTCACTCAGTTGCCTTGGTTTTTCCAAGATGTCAAATGGTTGACTGATCTCACATTTTTGGTTTAAGTGTTGGTTGAGTTTTGTTGCTGCTTAGAATTTGCTTATTGTACTGGCATTTTTATCTATTACATTATATGGTTTTAGGATGTTGTTATATGCCACTCTGGGTACACTTAGTAGAAGAGTGGGGTATCATTTTGATTGATGCTGTTGTTGTTGTCATGGTGGTGACCCGCAGAGCACTGGGCTGAGTAGGTAAAGTTTCCTGAGTGTTAGGGCTCATCCACACTTACATTTTGCCTCACACTTTCTAGGCACAGGTCTGGGTTTTTCTGGTCTGTGTCTGAGTGCTCTATTGTTTGCCCTGCCACTTTCCCTAGGAAAACCCAATCTTTACCATTGAATTGGAGCAAACAGCAATTCAGGTTTTTCAGCAGATTGCTGTTTGCTCTGGTTCAACTATAATGAGCGGGTTTTCATGAATCTGGAAAGCCCAAACCTGTGCTGAGAAATGCAGAGGAAAGGTAAGTGTGGATGATCCCTTAGATCAGGGATCCCCAAACTCGGCCCTCCAGATGTTTTGGGACTACAACTCCCATCATCCCTAGCTAACAGGTGCAGTGGTCGGGGATGATGGGAATTGTAGTCCCAAAACATCTAGAGGGTGAGTTTGGGGATGCCTGCCTTAGATGAACAACAGTTTGTGGTTTGCAAAAGCAGAGCTGGCCAGCCCTGCCAAACAGCTCCCACAATTCCCTTGGATCCCATCAGTTAGCCTGCTGCCCTCGGTTACCTTGAGCAATGTTATCTCATCGCCACTGTTGAGGTAAGGTTGGATTCTGCCAGGCTAGGTACATCCGTACAAGGAATGGGTGTGTGTGTGTGGCACCCTGTGCTTTGCAAAATGTCTTAGGCTTGTGCAAAAAGTACAGCAGAAATTTCAGGCTGCCCTCGGCCTGAAAGCGAGATGAGCGCTGCAACCCCATAGTCGCCTTTGACTGGACGTAACCGTCCAGGGGTCCTTTACCTTTTTTATGTTACAGTAGAAGTTATTATGCCTGAGAGCAAATTCAGGGAGACCACAATAAGCTGTTCATGGAGTCGGTCTGCAGGCGTAAAGGTCGCTGCCTTCAAAGCAACATCCTTATGCAACATTTCTCTCCAGTGTCTGCTGGCAGCACCTGAAACCAGGGGGATAAAACTCACCACAGGAGCACAGGAGTTTCAAGTGCACTTGAATCTTAAATGCGTTTGAAATGTTGAGAAAACGCTTCACTTCATTCTCTTTCAATCACCAGCAACTTGATACAAGTTCAGGTAAGTGGAACTGGTGTTCTCCAACTCAGACTCCTTGAGAAAAATGAGAAACGGAGAGAAACGGAAACATCGGGGTTTCCGCCTGTGCTTGACAAGGGGTTTCAGAACCAAGCACAAACAGTATACGGAAGTTTAGATCCCTGTTTCACACCACAAGGATCCTGATTCAAGCCCCTAGAACAGTAGCCAGGAATCTGTGGCTATCCATATGTTGTGGGATTCCCAACAACTATAATCCCTGATTATTGATCATGCTGGCTGGGAGCTGATGGGAGATGGACTCAAACAATATAAGAAAGGCCATAGGTTTGTCCCTAACTAATATACTTGTTTAATGTATGTTGAAATGGGAATTACATAATGTGCTTGCGTTACATACTGTGAAGCATGGCTGGAAGTTCCCATGAAGTTGAAGAAGAGCCTACCAGCTTAATCATTAATGGAGTTGTGTAACGGAACTGTATCGTTGTGGCTCTGTCACAAGGTCATTAGCTCACAGTCACATGAAAAAATAGTATTTCAGGTCTATGCATATGCTAATCTGGTAGGCATCCATGTTGCGTGTGGTGTTCCTTTTGTTCTAAGCTACCAAAGAGAATGGATGTGCGATTCCCTGTCTCCAGCAACCAGCCTGAGACTAATAGAGGCTGCAATAGAGAAGAGAGAGAGAGAGAGAGCTTTGATTTTTAGCACAGAATGCAACATATATTTAATGAAGTATGCCTTAAGCTGGGATCAGTACAGTGGTACCTTGGGTTAAGAACTTAATTCGTTCTGGAGGTCCGTTCTTAACCTGAAACTGTTCTTAACCTGAGGTACCACCTTAGATAATGGGGGCTCCCACTGCCACCACACTATCTCTGTTCTCATCCTGAAGCAAAGTTCTTAACCCAAGGTACTATTTCTGGGTTAGCGGAGTCTGTAACCTGAAGGGTCTGTAACCTGAAGCTTCTGTAACCCGAGGTACCACTGTATAAGAAATATGAAACTATCTGGTTGCAGTTTTTATTGTTTTAAGTTGTTTTGAAATTAGGTCCTGTGAGTAAAGCTTTTGAACCATATTTTTGGACTGGATAATTTTTATTTCAGCATGAGAGTCAGTATTTATTCACCCAGTAGCTTTCACAAGTGCAATATTAATGATCTCAATACCTACTGCCCTCAAGCCCCTTGCTGACACCATTCTGTGCTGCTGAATGTGGGTCTGAACGTGGAACTCAGCACCCCAAGGTCAGCCAGACTTCATAAGTGATCTTTGTCAAGGTAGGAATCTACAACACTTCCAAACTGCAGGCAAAGAAGAATCCACCAATCTGAAGCACTTCTTGCACACAATATGTTACGGTTGATCAACAACAGCAACAAAAGGCCTGACCTTTTAAAGATGGCAAGTCACCGATTGTTACTCCAGGGAAGTGGACCTTTTTTGCTTCTTACTCATTGGTTCCCAATTGGTTCTCTGGACGAAGAAGAAGCTGGTCCTCACATGTATTATTTTGTAGTGGGGGATAGAAGTTCTTGAAGGAATGTGAACAGACAGCTCTCTCCGGAGGCAAGCGCTGGAAAGGCCACGGCTGAGGTGAGCCCATAATGCACAGCGCCACTTAGAGAGGAAGCAGAATTAGAAATGGAATTTCCACGCTTTCTGCCGTCATATATAGCAGCCTACACCATGTTGTCTGGGGCTGATGGGAGTTGTAATTCAAAACTTTTAGCGGGCACCAGGTTGGCGAAGGCTACTATATAATCTAACAGTGAACTCAGTTCTCCAAGTGTTGCACATTTATGCAACTAAGAGGCACTACTCACATACAAAAGGGAAGTGTCGACAGGACGGGAGAAAATCTACATTTTTGCAAAAATACAAACATTCTTTAGCGGTGGAAATCCTAAGAGGGTGATCCACAAACTGTCCAATGGGAACTGAGCATCCTCAGGATGCCAACTGACTGTTGGGGAGGCATGGGGAAAAAAAGGTAGGGATTAAGATGGAGTACTCTGAAGAGGAGCCGTCCACACAGAAACATTTTGGTAATAACTAGAGAAGGCCCGAATTCTGCACCCTGCACTCAGAAGGTTGTGGCAGCCAACCTTAGAACTGCATGCATGGATCTCTTATGTAGCCAAAGCATACACTAAGTAAACATACTCCCGCTATCTTTGAAAAGTCTGGCAAAGGTTGTCTTTTGCAGAGAACCTTACATCCTGCAACAAGCGCAGAAGCTAAAAAAAAAAGGGGGGGGGTTTCCTCCTATTTGGAAATCCTAGAGTGAATCGTACTTCTCTGGCTGCTATGGTGTTTGCAGGAAAAAAACAATTGCATTAGGAGTTGGAGGAGCCCACCCCTGACCTTAGTTACCATCCAGTAACTAATAGAAAACGATAACAGAACCAGTCATAAATTACAAATAGATGGAAAGTGAATGAAGGTCAAAAAGCCAGACACATCTTAAGCTTCCCAGAAGAGACATGTAAACATGCTGTCACAGCTTCATGAATACAATATTAATGGTTATTACAGCACAAAATAATGGGCCTTATGACTATGCACAGAATCACCAACCACTTTCATTAAATTCTTTTTATGATGCTTCCTGTCTCTACTTCCTCCTGATTAACCCGAACATAATCTAAAAACTAAAAATACAGTGGTACCTCGGGTTAAGAACTTAATTCGTTCTGGAGGTCCGTTCTTAACCTGAAACTGTTCTTAACCTGAAGCACCACTTTAGCTAATGGGGCCTCCTGCTGCTGCTGTGCCGCCACGGCACGATTTCTGTTCTCATCCTGAAGCAAAGTTCTTAACCCGAGGTAATATTTCTGGGTTAGCGGAGTCTGTAACCTGAAGCGTATGTAACCTGAAGCGTATGTAACCTGAGGTACCACTGTAAGGGCAAGGACAGAATTGTATAATATAACAATACTGAAGCTATAATCAGTTATGACCCCACTGTTGTATGGATGCAGGAAACAGGAAGGCCAGTGAGCCAGAGGCGTAAGAGTGGTTTGAATGAACCTATATCAGAAGGGGGATGTGTGCCAAACGCACTGAGGGGACAGCTAATGAGTCAAGGCCCACCCAGAATTGATCCCAAAGCTCCATGTTGGATTAATCAACAGCAAAGTTCATGAATCAATAAGTGGTTACAAGGCTATACGTAATCTGCGTTAAGGAAATGGATCAAAATTCTGCACCCAGAAGCTTGTGGCTTGCATATTGTGTGCTTAGTTTTTCATCATTCTTTGTTTCCTGAAATACAACTGTATGCACGAAATGTTCAGGGGGTGGGGGACACTGTATGTGTGTGTGTGTGTGTGTGAGAGAGAGAGAGAGAGAGGTGTCTTCTGTGGCATCCCCCCCCCCTCCGATTAAATTGCTTCCATGTATTTCCATACCCTACAACTTTTCTCCTTTGAAAATAGGCACATCCCATTCCATAATGATATCTTTACTGTTTATAACCCACACATCTTACTGGGTTGCCCCAGCCACTCTTGGCAGCTTCCAACATATATAAAAACATAATAAAACAGTAAACATTTAAAAAAACTTCCCTAGAGGGTTGCCATATATTGAAGAGCAGAAAAGAGGACACATTTGCCGACTTCTACTTTTAGCTATGGATCACTATGATGACTCTACCCATGAAAAAGAGGATGTGTCCTGGGAAAAGAGGACACATGGCAACCCTACTATACAGGATTGCCTTCAGACGGTTCAGGTGTCGGATAACTCCATACCCTCCAACATTATTCCAATGAAAATAGGGACATCCTAAGGAAAAGTGGGACATTCCAGCATCAAATCAGAAACCAGGGCACCTTCTCTAAATCAGGGATGTCTCTGGAAAATAGGGACACTTGGAGGGTCTGTATTTCCCCCATTCAAACAGTAAACACCAGCTGGAGATGGAGGGATTATTAACAGGAAAACAGTGTGAGGGAAATGGATAAAACGTCTCCTTCTTCCAAGATTAACAACAGCAACCACCACCATTTCAGTTTTTTAAACAAGTAAGGCAGTCAAGTCACAGATCTTCTACCTCATGTGTAGTCTGGCCCTGAGCGAATTCCACTTATGAAATCCATGTGTCTGACTCCTCATGTAACATCTGGATGGGACGCAGTATTTGTCACATTCATGCAGTTATATTTTCATCTCATTTTTCAGCTGAACACTGTCTTTTCCTAAAATGGCTCACATCAATTCTAAGGGCAGGAGAGAGAAGCCCTGCCCCCAAGCTCACACAATAAAAAGAAGAGAAGGGCAGTGGTGGGAAAAGTTAGAGGTGGGAGACCAGTTTGACAGCACCAGAACAATGTAGTGAGCTGTCAGCAGGCCTTTGTGTACATCCATTTAGGGCCAGGCTTATCTTCCCTTGATGGTGGTCTGGCATGAACAGAGCTGCTGCATCTGGCCCAACAGACCCTTGTTCCTCTGGCTGGAAGCTGAGATGGGCTTCCCCGTACTTCTTCAGTTGCAGGACAACAGGCAGTTCAGTTGAAGCAGAGCATTCTATTCTCTCCATTGTGAAGTGGGGAAGCAAGCACCTTTGGTTGATGTGCGGGCCCAGGTTCTGTCTTCTTGTTGCTGTGAGGCAGGAGGTACAAACTCCCAGTGGTCCATGATCTCCTGACTACAGAGACCACAGTGTGCTCTGTAGCCAGAAGTGGCTTGAGGATGGGGCAGAGTTTCCCAGTTGCCTGTTTCCCGGTTGGTGGGACACTATTGCTTATCAGGAGTTAGAAGGGTGGTGCAGTGGGGAGATTGGCTTGGTGCAAACCCAATAGCAGGAGGACTGGGCAGACTCCACTGATACATTTGCACTGTGCCAACTTCCCCTTGCCCCTCTCCCATCTGGAAAACATCAGGGACCCACTGGGCAAACCAATTGTGGCTGCTGCCCCAGGGCAAATGAGAATTTGTGGAAAGGTGAAGGAAGAAGGAGGAGGAGGAGTTGAGCGTGCAATCAGAGAATGTTTTGAACGTGAACCTTTCAACACAGACTATTGTTGCTGTTGTTGTTTAGTCGTGTCTGACTCTTCGTGACCCCATGGACCAGAGCACGCCAGGCACTACTGTCTTCTACTGCCTCCTGCAACTTGGTCAAACTCATGTTGGTAGCTTCAAGAACACTGTCCAACCATCTTGTCCTCTGTCGTCCCCTTCTCCTTGTGCCCTCAATCTTTCCCAACATCAGGGAGTCTTCTCTTCTCATGAGGTGGCCAAAGTATTGGAGCCTCAGCTTCAGGATCTGTCCTTCCAGTGAGCACTCAGGGCTGATTTCCTTAAGAATGGATAGGTTTGATCTTCTTCAGTCCATGGGATTCTCAAGAGTCTCCAGCTGTTAATTGGCCGAAACTCATATCATAAGAGCTTGTTGAATCAGGCCAATGGCCCATTTAGTCCAGCATCCTGTTCTCACAGTGGCCAAGCAGATGCCTCAGTGGGAAACCAGCAAGCAGGATCTGAGCACAAGAGCATTCTCCCTTCCTGTGGCTTCCAGTAACTGGTATTCAGAAGCATTGCTGCCTCCAACCATGGAGGCAGAGCATAGCCATCATGTTTAATAGCCATTATTGGCCTTCTCCTTCATGAATGTGTCAAATCCTCTTTTAAAGTCATCCAAGTTGGTGGCCCTCACTGCTTCCTCTGTGAGTGAGTTGCATCGTTTATGCACAGTGTGGAGAAGTGCTTTCCTTTATCTGTCCTGAATCTTCCAGCCTTCACCTTCATTGGTTATGAGGGAGCAAAACCTTTCTCTAATCCGCTTTCTCTATGCCTTGCGCAATTTTATAAACTTCTATCATGGTATCTCCTACTTGACTTTTCTCTAAACTGAAAAGCACTGAGTGCTGCAACCCTTCCTTGTATTGGCACAAAAAATATTGTTGTTTAATTATTCTTGATCTTGCTTGAAGTATTAAGTATGGAGAAAATCTCTTTCCACGGTTGTGGATTTACTTCTGTTTTGGTTCTATGGTTAATTATATCGACACTGTTTCAATATGTACGTTTTCTCTTCCTGGGACCTTTGGGCAAGGGGCAGGTTCTAAATGTTGTATATAAATAAATAAATCTTACTTTCTGAAACATCAAAAAAACTTACTTTCTGAACATCAAAAAAACGAAGATCATGGCCACTGGTCCCATCACCTCCTGGCAAATAGAAGGGGAAGAAATGAAAAAGAAATTTTACTTTCTTGGGCTCCATGATCACTGCAGATGGTGATGGCAGCCATGAAATTAAAAGACGCTTGCTTCTTGGGACAAAAGCAATGACAAACCTAGACAGCATCTTAAAAAGCAGAGACATCACCTTGCCAACAAAGGTCCGTATAGTAAAAGCTATGGTTTTCCCAGTAGTGATGTATGGAAGTGAAAGCTGGACCATAAAGAAGGCTGATCGCCAAAGAATTGTTGCTTTTGAATTATGGTGCTGGAGGAGACTCTTGAGAGTCCCATGGACTGCAAGAAGATCAAACCTATCCATTCTTAAGGAAGTCAGCCCTGAGTGCTCACTGGAAGGACAGATCCTGAAGCTGAGGCTCCAATACTTTGGCCACCTCATGAGAAGAGAGGACTCCCTGATGTTGGGAAAGATGGAGGGCACAAGGAGAAGGGGACGGCAGAGGACGAGATGGTTGGATAGTGTTCTCGAAGCTACCAGCATGAGTTTGACCAAACTGAGGGAGGCAGTGGAAGACAGAAGTGCCTGGCGTGCTCTGGTCCATGGGGTCACGAAGAGCCAGACACAACTAAATGACTAAACAACAGCAACTTTCTGAAAAAGCCACTCTCTTAGTAAAACAGCAACAGCAGCAATAATGTAAATTACTCTGCAGCAGACTCATGCACGTGGGTGGGACTTCCTGTAAACACATTCTTGAATTTCAACCTGCAGTTTGTACTCCAGATATTGCTTGTCTTTTTGATTCCCTTCATTATGTTTGGCTAAGATGCAACATTTCGACAAATTGGAAATTCCCCCCCTCTGTGTGTGTGTGTGTGTTGTCTAAGTGGCTGCATCACATACCTAAGCCAATGACTAATGCTGACGGAGAAGGAAAACTGGAAGCAAGTGATTTCCAAATATTTAGTATTGTATTATAAAATCCACCCACTGGTTGGCTGAAAACTCCATATGTGTGTTTACTTGGCAGACAATATATTTATTCAGGGAACTTTCTGTTCACCAGCTAGGAATAACAAGTTGTATATATTTTTATAATAATTTTAAAAAGTAGAGTTGCAATCTGCCTGTCAGGGCGGGAGCCAGGAGCAAGTCAGCAACAACTCACACAGAGTCAGTGAAATAAACCTGCTATTGGTGCAAACCCAATAGCAGGAGTATTCAAAGCTAGGGAGCCCAGGCCTAGTGAGCACAGCAACTCTTCCTGGTAGATCTAGCACCTATGAGGCAGTTATAAGGACTGAAGGCCTTGCCAAAGCTCCCTAAATCTCCTCCTCCCCTGGTCCATTTCCAAGCAATCTGAGGCTCCTTCGCCTTGTCTGCCTTTGCTCTGCTCTCTTCATACCTCTTTGGCTTCTGGGAGACTGGGAGGTGGGGAGCAGGTTGCCACAGCCAGACTCTTGTAGGAGTAGAGTACTGCTAGGTTGGGGGGGCTGGGCATGGTGCCCTCCAGGGACCCCTGTGCCATCCTGGTCACTCCCCCCATGCTCTCCGCATTGTCCCTGGCACATCTGCTGGCGTAAGAGTTTCGTCTCTGTCAGATGCGCTTGCACATCTCCATCAGGCGCTAGCCTTAGATTGGTTAGCTTTTCAAAATGCAGCAACGCTGAAAAACCAGCATCTCTTTGATGTATTCTACGCAGCGTTTGCCAAATCTCACGCGCATATTCCAACCCTGAATATGCACGAGTTGATCATCTGAGATACACAGAATTATGGCCGTCCTGGCTCTCATGTTCTGTGAATTCCAACCTGGCGTTGGTGCAGCAGGGATGGGGTTATCAATCACCCCAAAAATCCTCTGATTCTGAAGCAGGGCTTTCATCTTTACAGACCATGAGGAATAATTGTCATTAGTCAGTGGAGGTGGGTAAGGTAAGCCTCCCCCCTTCTTGGTATCCATTTTGAATCCAAGTGTCAGCTCTCACTCTTGAGCCTGTAAAATTCCAAGAGTGTATTGGCTGTTTACTGCCTCACACTTGGCAGCTAAACGCAGGCTGTTTTGAAAGTCCCTCCAAGAGCAGTGAGATAATAGACAAAATAAACGCTGTTTTCCAGCCTCTCACAGTCCCAGCCCCTCTTCCGTTGTTGGCCAGTAACTTTCCACTTTACTGACGTTTCGTTGCTTAGCAACTGGACATTCCAGGCTTATCAAGACTCAGGAATGCAAAATATGTGGCTCTCTTTCAGTGCTGGTTTCATCCAAAAGCAGACACTCAGTGAACCGAAGAATGCTTCAATTCGCGTTCACTCTCACAGCCATAAAATCACCATACCTTGAGGGAATCCGTTGCTCAGCAAAAACACCTCCTCCGGTGCTCAGCCGTCCTTGTAGCTTCCATCTGCCCGCTACCACATTCTTTCTTTATCTCCTTGCAGAGGATGAAGTACGATCCATCAACCTCTCTTTCAGCTTTCATGGATCAAAACCATCGGCTCCTTGCTACCAGATGTTGGGAATCAAGCCTTTATCAGGAGAAACTGGCCACTCTCCAGGCACCCGGCTTGATCTCCTGTTGACCTCCCTGTCTGCATTCCCCAGCAGGATACAGGCTAGGTCGTGATAGGCGATCCTTCTCAGCATGAGAAGAACACACCCCCTCTTTCCTGCCCCCCCGGGCAGGGGAGAGAGAGAGATAGAAACGTATTTACATTCCTTTATTTCTGTCTTTGCAGCGTTACAAAAATCATGACTGCTCTCTTCAAGCTTCAGCAGTCGAGAGACTAACTCCTCCTGTACTTCCTGTACAGCTCATATTACACTCTGAGCTAATTCCGGTGCCCTCTGCACTGTGAATTGAGTATCCCTCTGTTTCCCACGGAACAGTCCCAACATTCCCATTATGTTTTGTTTTCAAGCTACCAGCAGCTCACGGCTGCATTGATTCAATATCGTAACACTTTCCTGCTCCATTGGTTTCTATCTCCACCCAATGCAACCACCCTGCCCACTTTACTAAATAGCAGTGGGAGCTGGGAAGGGATCCCTTCAAATTTTATAACAGTTCAAAGGATCAGGTGGCTGGGCAGACTGTGCAGAGAAGAACTTTCTTTTCCCTTGGGAAATGAAGATGAGATATATGCCTGGAGCCTCAGCCCCTCGGAGTACAGTGCATCCAGCTGCCCCACCTCTCTAGCTGTTTTAAAAAAAGAAGAAGAAGAAGAAGCAGCAACAAATGCATAACAATACAATGAAATCAAAAGAAAAACACGAAGCAGGGAGATATGGAGAAAGCATTAGTTTTTTCCTTTCTTTCCAGTGTTCCTGAATTGCACAAATCTGTTTTGGGGACGGACGGACACCAGGATCAGTAGAAATATACTGCTGTGGGAACACTTCTGCCCTTAGGGTTCTGTAAGGGGAGAAGCAAACATGGATGCTTGACCCATCCCCAGGAAAAATCAAGGCAATGTATCTGCTGTGGAGAGGTTTGGTTTGTGTCAGGGTACTGTCAGCGGCTTTCTGAACACGGCCCAGGAGGAAGGAGCGGAACTACTGTATAACAGTGCCCCCAGCTCCTAGCCCCTCTAGACGGTCCAGAAGGATGTTATGGTTGATGGTGTCAAAAGCCGCTGAGACATCCAGCAGAACTAGGAAACAGCTCTCACCTTTGTCCCTAGCCCGCCGGAGATCATCGACCAGTGCGACCAAGGCAGTTTCAGTCCCATGATGAGGCCTGAATCCCGACTGGAAGGGATCCAAATGGTCCGCTTCTTCCAGGCGTGCCTGGAGTTGTTCAGCAACCACTCTCTCAATCACCTTGCAAGCCGCACATCACATATCATCCAGCAATCCAGCTTGAATCTGGCCGTAGTTGGGGCCTGGATGGGAGA